GAGGTAGACATAGAAATGCCCCATTTTGATCAGTGTGCCAATGGCTTACCTGTGGGACAAAGTGAGTAGGAATTACTCATAGCCTGTTCATTAACACCTTGCTCTGCTCACTTAGCAGCTTGGCCCAACTGGTCATTTAGTTGGAGCTGCCAGTACTCATCTATGTTCGATAAGCAGATTTAGTGTGAATAAATGTTCATTTAACCCCTTCATGAACTCATGGAGATCTGCCTGCATCTGCCTTCCCAGTGCTGGGATTAAAGGCATGAGCCAGCATTACCCACATAAGACAGTGTTGATTTGAGAGACAGACTGTTAAAATAGGGTCTCCCTTTGGGACCTGGGGCTCACAGATTATAGAGTTGGCTAAGCTTAAGTGACACCTATGGATGCACAAGTTTTTTTTTCCATCTGAGCCTGATTTCTTTCTTTTTTTTTAAGATTTATTTCTTTATTATGTATACATTATTCTGCCTTCTTGTATGCCTGCAGGCCAAAAGAAGACACCAGATCTCATTATAGATGGTTATGAGCTACCATGTGGTTTCTGGAAATTGAACTCAGGATGTTTGGAAGAGCAGCCAGTGCTTTTAATCTCTGAGCCATCCCCACCCCTCCCACAAGCCTAATTTCTTATAATTTGACACATGAAGGTACTCATCCTTGATATAAATGGTTGGTTTTGATTTGTGTGCGTGCGTGTGTCTGTGTCTGTCTGTGTGTGTGCGAGTGTGTTCTAAGAGTCTTATCTCCAGCAATGAGCCAGTTCTTGGTTAGGAAACAGTAGGCTAAGTACAAAGATCCACTGTCTTTCCTTGCCAAGAAGGCCGCCCTGAGGGCAGGTAGAGGCAGCCAGGGTCACAGTGATTGCCAGCCCTTATCTTGTCAGGTGGGAAAAGACAATGAGGACTTTTGAACTCTTCAGGTCAGGGTACTGGAGTGGCTCTTGGGAAGGTATGTGACTCTTTTCCAACAAGGAGACCTGGGTCCAGGTACCTACGTCAAAGTTGTGCCTTCTGCTGCTAGTGGTTAGAGCAGGCACTTTTGGTTTTTCTTGTGTGTCTCTTTTGACTTAGCAAATAAACAACATATAGGCTTATAGTTGGGGGGGGGAGGTTGCTCAGGTAGACCCTGCACTCTCTGAGCAGCTTCCAGAGGCCTCATGGGTAATATCAATGGGCTCTTACTGAAGAGCAGGAGATAGACTCTCTCCACAGAGGCTTAGAGTCTCCTGTGGGAGAAAGATAATCCGGGGGCTGGGCAGACACCAAGGTAAGAGCATCATGGCTAGAGAGTCAGGAGTGGTGACACAGGCCTGCAATTGTAGCACACAGGAGACAGAGGCAGGAGGATTGTGGTTTCCTGGTCAGCCTGAAGTACATAGTAAGATCCTGTTTCAAAATGCGCCTCCCCCCAAAAAAGTTGAGTGTATATTCAAAACTCCAAACCTGGCACTGCTTAATGGCCTTCTCCACTGCCTGCTGTCCCGGCATGGCTTACAAATTTCTCTGTAATCCAGTAACGTACACAGGTGTTTGCCTGACATAGCACTTTTCTCTCTTCCTCATGAGGACTTGACCAGCTGATTGAAGTCTCACAGTCCAAGTAGGCTGAAAACAAAGCCAGGGTTCTGAATGGGAAGCATAAAGGTAGCTAGTCCCCAACCTCTGCCTTCCAAGTCACCAGGTGTGACAGCATCGCATGAATTCTGCCCTAGTGGTGGCTCAGCCACATGTGAACATCTTGCTTTCGGGTTGTGCAACAGAAACCTGGTGTAACTCCTCCGAATCCAGGCAGAAGTTCAGGAGCCATCTGCCAGGGCCACTGCTGTGCTTGGACCCATCTGGGTCTCTGAGAAGGTTCCAAGGTCAATCTGATGGGAGACCCTGGCCAGGGACCCTTTGACCTACCCCGAACCCCTCAGTGAAGCCTCACAGGGAATCACACTGTGCAGCCACTTTATACATCTGAGAGGGGAAGGAACTGAGCTTGTAGACACAAACACACTGTGCTGGGGGCTGTGGTTAAGAGCGCTTCCTGCTCTTACAAAGGACCGGAGTTCAGTTCTTAGCACCCCATCGGGAGGCTCACAACCATTTGTAATTTCCAGAGCACTTGAGCATCTGACCTCTGTGGGCACCTGCTTCCACTTGCACATACCCACATCCAAACATGCACACCTAAAATGATAAAAATACAAAGCTGAGCATGGTGGTGCAGGACTTTATTTCCTGTACTTGGGAGGCACAGGCAGGTAGAACTTCATGAGTTTGAGGCCAGCCTGCTCTACAATGCATGTTCTAGGACAGCCAGGACTACATGGAGAGACTCTGTCTCAGCAACAACAACAATAATAATAATAAATATTATATCATAAAATATTATATATAATATTATATACATAATTTTAAAATAATTATGTTATGTTGTGCTTTCAACACGGTTGCTCCAGGATGCTGGTGATTGCTTGTGATCTGAAGCTCTCCCACCCAACAGAAAATTTTGGCTTAGGACAGATACCACGTCGTAGCCCATCACTTACCTTTGTCACTTTGGATGATGTTGAGAAACCATGTTGGGCCTCAGTCCTCTCTCCTGGGAAGTGGGGTGTGATGGGGTAGTGACAGTGGGGTTTGAGGAATTACCATGGCAGGTGCTCGGAGGCCAGCAGTGTGCAATCCTGGTGATGCCGGTTGCGTATACTTAAGACCAAATTGCTGCCGGCAGTCTAGGTCTGACTCCAGAGTGCCAACTTGTTGGTAGAGCTATAGGAGGGAGAGAGGGATGGGGAGGAAAGGGAAGAGGATGAGAAGTTGCAAACGGCAGGTTTGGGCACTCAGTCCTCTTCTGAGCTTCCTGAGACCTGTCAACCCAGATAGCAACATGACTTAACCTGAGAGGATTTTTTTGGTTTTGGTTTTGCGTTGTTTTATTTAAAATAATTATCTATTTTCTTTAATGTGTATGAGTGTGCGTGCATCACGTGCATGCAGTGGCCACTGATGCCAGAAGAGGGCACCAGATTCCCTACAACTGGAGTTAACAGCTGTGAACCACAATGTGGGAGGTAATCAAAACCAGGACCTCTGAGAGAGCAGCCAGTGCTCTTAACCCTGAGCCATCTCCCCAGCCCCTGGGAATCCCATCTTTATGGGTCTGTTCCCAAATGAAAAGAGCCCACCGCCTTGAGTATGTGGCTCACCTGGTTTCCGCAGAGGCTTAACCACTGAGGGCCGACAGCACTCTGTCACCCTGATGGAGTTATTTTGGGGCACCGTCTCATGCTTCACTTGCCGGGAGTAGTTCTCGAGTTTGTTAAATACAGCCTTTCTTGTCGTTTGAGAACACGCAGTGGTACGGCAGAGGCAGTTCGGCATTCTCTCATGGAGACCAGTGTCCCGCATTGACAAGCATGGAGATTCTGCTCCTCCATCGCTTGCTTAGCTTAAAGCACTAGCTGACCTGTGAAAGGTGACGGTGGGTGCCTGGGGCTCAAGGTCATCTTCTGCTACATGGGGAGCTGAAGGCTAATCTAGGCTATATGAGACCCTGACTCAAAGCGACAAAAATCAGAAACAACCCCATTATATGTTGGAAGTTGAGCTCATTAAATAGTAAACCCAAATAAAACAAAATTTGTTTTTCATAATTAACTACTACAAAAGCAGCCATCTTTATTCTTTCTCACTAGTTTAACACACTACATTTTTGTAGTTTCCCATTAACAAAAACTGAGTAACGAAGAGTTGGCTTGATATCCTCAGAAAATGTTGTTTTGATGTTGCTGTAATTATTTCCCTGGTCCATGTTGGTGTGATTTGGGCGTACATTTTTTTAAAATGTCATCAGTGAAGATCTGACTCAGCTAAAGTCTATTACTTAGTCTTTGCCTAGAAAAGAGAATATCATCTCCGAGAGTACATATAAAAAGTCTATAACCCGGTGCGTGCTTTTTCACATGCTGTAACCTGGCTGAGCAGAAGGTGTGTAAGTCCACATTTTTCGAAGAATTAAAACTAAATACAAGGCTCTGTGCGACTCAGGACCCAGAGCTTTGCCTCTCTGGTCTTCTGATGACATTTTTGATGGCAGTTCTGTTGATCTTGATCTCAAAACCTTGCTAAGCTCAGTGGCAGAGCTTAGCAAGCCTAGGGCCCTGAGTTCTACCCCCTACATTGAAAATAGAACAAAAGAAAATCCTGACATGACTGATACATTGATTGGTATTTTGCTTTTAAATTAATTTGGCGCCAGTATTACAAAAATATGTAAAATTTGCTTGTCCACAGACACCAACTCTCTCGTTTTCTAGAGTTTCTAGCTTGCTGAGGTGGCTCAGTGTGTAAAGGCTATTGGTTCACAAGCCTGGGAACCTGCATTTGATCCTCAAAAACCCACATAAAAGCAGGAGGTGTGGAGCAGCTCCACAAACATGCCCCCTGACCTCCACTCACACACTGTGTCGTGCATGCCCACACGTGCGCATCACACACATGCAGGCACTCATAACAACAATAACAAGATGAGTGTGTATCTGGGGGCTGGAGAGATGGCTCAGGGGCTCAGAGCACGTATTGCTCTTTTAGCAAACCCAGGCTCTCAGCCCCCACATAGCGGTCCACAACCATCGGTAACTCCAGTTCCAGGGGATCCAATGCTCACTTCTAAATGCCACAGGTCCCGCGCACACGTGTGGTACACATATGTATACACATGCAGGAAAAAGACTCAGACACATAAAGTGAATAATTGCATTAGTTGTGTATGTGTCTCAACCCTCTTCTTAAAAAGCCCAGCAGTGGTGGCCTACACCTTGAATCCTAGCACTCAGGAGGCAGAGCCAGGTATATATCTGTGACTTCCAGGCCAGTCTGGTCTACACAGCAAGTTCCAGGACAGCCAGGGCTATTAAGCAGAGGAACCCTGTCTTGGAGGGTGGAGGAGGATGGCAAAACCCAAACCCTTGTCTGAAGGATGGCTCTCCTCTGCCTGCTTCACAGGCCCCTGGCGTTTGTGGGACTGCAGACCAGGAAGGCCTTGCTGACACCCCTCATGCATCCAGCTCGTCCTTTCCGGGTCTCAAACCATGACCGAAGCAGCCGGCGTGGGGTGATGGCCAGCACCCTGGAGGAGCTTATCAGCAAGGTACTGTGGTCACAGCCTTGAGTACCCTTTGCTAGCTCAGAGTCCAGGCCTGGGCACTAAGCCAGTGCCAAGACACAAGCGTTAAGAAAGAGCATATTTACCAGGGAGTGACGGCACATGCTTTTAATCCCAGCACTTGGGAGGCAGAGGCAGGCAGATCTCTGTGAGTTTGAGGCCAGCCTGGTCTACAAAGCAAGTGAGGACAGCTAAGGATACATAGAAAAACCCTGTCTTGAAAAGAAACAAACAAACAAAAAAGGGGAAGAAGAGAGAGAGTATCAAACCCATTAATCCCTCTCTAGGCTTCAGAGCCTTGAAGGGAGATGTAACAGGCAGGTAGAGGATAGGTTTAAGTCCTCAAAGTGCCATGTGTCTCGGCATCACAGAAGACTCTGGTCCAGAGGTGAACACCTGAAAAGCATCCATCAACTGAAATGTAACTTCCCCTTCTTTGACAAGGGAGAATATAGAGACCTGAGGAACCTGAACAGGATAGGTAGTCCTCAAGCTAAAACAGTGTTCTCAAAGAAGGAAGAATCACTGACTCTCAGGGCTGCCTGCAGAAACGAGAAGTGGGCATCCAGCACCCAGCCTCTGAAGCAAGAGGTGTGAGGGGTGCCTCTCAGGGCCACATGCTTAACGGACCAGGTGTGCAGGGTGGCCTGCTCTTCCCCTATGTGATAGGTAACCATGGAAACTGTAAACATGAGCTACATCACTTACCTCATTCCCTGGGAAGAGAGAGGTCCAGTCAAAACCTTATTAGACTGTTCTTCTGATTGAAGGCTGGATCATTAGATACCAGTCCATGGGGTTCTTTGCCAACACAGCTTTATCCCAGCCAGCCAGCCCTCCTGAAACCTTAACATGAATGTCATTGATGGCCCCATGGCAGATAGCTCCCTTTACCCTGTTCCTCTGCTCCCTTGCAAACCTAGACTCTGAATGTCCTGGCTATCACAGCTGGCCTGGTCACGCTGGTGCTGGAGGAGGATGGTACCGTGGTGGACACAGAGGAGTTCTTTCAGACCTTAAGGGACAACACACATTTCATGATCCTGGAAAGGGGACAGAAATGGACCCCGGTAAGTACAGCCTTGCTATGCAAGCAACAACTGGGTAGATGTTCTATCTACAAGTGCGCTGCCTAGTATACGTTATGTACTCGGCTCCTAGCTAAAGCCACAGCACTCAAAAGGATTGTCGGTATTTCTAAAAAATTTGATGTCTCTGAACTTAGACTGTATGATTTACAACAAATAATTTTGAAGCATGAGCTTTGACCAAGACCTGCCCTAATCCTTTGTGTGTTTGTGTGGCCGCACTCATCAACTTTCCATCACTACAATAAAATATTGCTGGAATTATTTGGATCTGCCAGCTCTGAATAATGACACAGAGATTTATTGTTTTTTTATAAAAGCTTAGGCACCAAAGCTGAGCAGACTCTCAGCTAGCTCATCTAACTCAACTAACCTGTCTGTTCTAGTCCAGGTTTGCCCATAGTCAGACCTTTTCTGTGTCATGCTGGTGAATATATATCCCCACCCCTCTCAGCCTCTCTCTCAGCCCTGAAGTCCTGCCTTTCCCCTTCTGCCGAGATATTGGCCTTCAGCTCTTTACTAAGCCAATCAAACGGTGAGGAAGGTGTATGTTTACAATATACCAAGGTAGATGATGAGCCATAAGAATAACAGTACCAGGCTGGAGAGATGCCTCAGCGGTTAAGAGCACTAGCTGCTCTTCCAAAGGACGTGAGTTCATTTTCCAGTCAACCACACGGTGCTTCACAACCATCTATAATGGGATCTGATGCCCTCTTCTGGCATCCATGAGTACATGCAGACAAAGCACTCATACATAAATAAATTTTAAAAGTCAAATTAAAAAAAGAATAACAATACCAAAATCCAGCCAGTACTCAGCTCTCTGCCAGTACAGAATAAGCAATGTAATAATACAAAAACTGCTTTTACACAGTGCACAAAAAGACTACCCCAACAATAAAACACTTGAGACGATTAACTTAGAAGGAAGACAGATTTATTTTCTCTCACAGTTTGGGGGAAGGGTGGAGTCCAGTCCATGATCAGTGGGGCAAAGCCACTCATTGGAGCAAGGGAGTGAAGAGAGCATAGAGGAAACGGGGGGCACCATGATCTCCTTTTCCATCTTCGAGATCTAGGACAAGCTTCCCTGCCCTACAAACTGATGTTTGAAACGACAGAGTTGAAATGCAGTCTGTGACCTAGGAACGAGGATCCATCCGTGGGCACACGCCCCAGAATCACACAAGCACCCATAAAGCGGATGTATTATCAGACCACTGTGTCACCTTTGTAAGTGATGGTAAGCATTGGCAACAAGCCACATGCCCGTTGCGGTAGGGTGGAGATGGGCAAGCAGCCATCACTGCATGTCCATTTAGGTTCTCATTGGTCGACATCCCGCTGTAGATTTAAGGAATAAAATGCTCTTCAACCTTGAAGACACATGAAGTGCAGCTACAGTCTGCATAGATCCCATCACTCTGTTGAGTGAGAACAGCATAGAAGAGTGAGTGCACAGGCAGCCCACCTTCAGATGTTTTCATCTCAGGATGAACAAAAGGTAATAAAGACTTCTAGTACCTTTTTGACGTGGGTGGCATCACTGCAGTCAACAAACACCTGTCAATCAGAGGTTCTCACCCGGGATATTTTGCTTTTAGCAGCCATGGAGTAATATCTAAACAGTTCAGAATGATAAGCTGTTACCATTTAGAAGGGAAATTGCAATGCACGGCCTTTGAAACAAAGAGTCACCCAGTTCCAAATGGCATTTGTTTTGAGGTTGAGAAACTATAAGCCATACATACAGATGTTTCCAGTATTCAAGATTAAAATTGAGAAATTAGAAAATGTGTTGACTAATAACAACAGTGAAGGTTAGCTTAAACTAACCTTATATTCTAATTAAATATTTTCTTAAAATAAATAACTGCTCTACAAAAAAGAAGAGCAAGAAACTATGCTCTTTGTCATTTTTTTCCTGCAAATCTCTTTAATGTCTAGAAGACACTTGAATTCTTAGAGCTGTAGTGTAAAAGAAATTTTATTCTCCTGATTCAGTTGTTGCCTTGGAGGCTTCCTGCCTTCTTCTGCTAACCTAGGCCTAGAATGTTTTCAGCCTCTGAGACTTACTGCTGAATAAGCTCACCCTTTCTCGTTTTCCTGAGCTCTGGGCTGGCTGGTTCAACTTAGCTGTTCTGGCTCAAACTCCTCTCCCAGGTGACTTGTTTAATCTGGCTTTTCTCTTGGCCTCTGTGTTGCTTTGTTTGGCCTCAAACTAACTCAAGCAATCTTTTCTAATCTTATGGCTCCTTCTCATTCTTTGGCTCATTCAGCCTTCACTTCAGTTCTCTCTCTCTGCAACCTGTCTCTCTATTACTGTCCTGGTAAAAACTTTTCTCTCTCTCTCTAAATTGTCCCTTAAGTAACTTCCCTTTCCTCTCTTTTCTCATGAAAGTTGGATATATCCTATTCTCTCAAGTCTTTATTTGATTCATCACTGTTTCTGCCACTCAATTAGACATGACTTTCAAACATGAGTACTTCCTTCTACAAACTAACTTTACCTTCATTGTTTGGGATTAAAGGTGTGTACTACCACACCTAGACCTAAGCTTTTCTTTACCTAAAACTTGCTCTATACCAGGCTGGCCTTGAACTCAGATCTGCTTGCCTCTGCCTCCTGGATTAAAGGCATGTCTGTATTCTAGCCAGATCACACAGACCTAGAAGGTCTCTGGCTGTGATATTTTCCAGGACAGCCATGTTCTGAATTAAAGTTCCTCTACACTGAAGAAATGGTTCAGCAATTTAAGAGTGTTTGCTGCTCATCCAGAGGACCCAGGTTCCATTCCCAACACTCACATAGTTGGGAACTCACAGCTCACAGCCATCTGTAACTCCAGTTCCAGGGATTTGATGCCTCTTCTGATCTCTAAGTAAGGACATATGCATATAATCAGGCATGCACACACACAGCGCACACACACTACATAAATAACTGTCAGACATACTTCTGTGTTAACCTGCTACACTCCATCACTTGGGTGGAACTCTGAAGGAAATGTGGCCTGGCTGCACCTGTGGAGACGGAGAGGAAAGGAGGATGCTAAAGGTCTTTGCATACGGTTGAGAAGGCTCTGCCTTGATACTGCACCAAGAGTCAACAGTTGCCGGGTCCGCAAAGCTCAGCTGCAGTGGAGAATTTGAGGGGGTCCTGATGGAGTCAATCATTCTGCTACACGAAGCACTGCAGTCTGTTTTCCACTTTGAAAGGATCTTCCATCAGAGTGATCCTGAAACATCGTACTTTGGCCATTTGGGAAATGCTTACCTGGAGCCGAGGTGTGGCTTAGCGGTAACATACCTCACATGCACAAGGCCCTGGGTTGGGTCCCCAACCCCAAAAGAAAAACAGCAGAAAGATAACAACAACGACAATAAACCGATTTCCTGAGCTACACATTTCCCTCAAACATGCTGTAGAAAATCAGGACTTAGCAGAACAGAGAAGGGCAATCCAATCGTCTTTATCAATTATCGTGGAAGAAGTTTGAATCTGAAGGGGTCTTAAGCTGGATCCTCTAACTCCAGACTACACCGAGAGAATGTCTGTATCAAACCATTTCTAGATAATTCAAAACTACGAAAAATTAGCAACGTAGTGTTCATGGGAAGCTAGGCGAGGTAGTTTTCTCCTGCACGTGGTGAGATAACCAGAGGAGACACACAGGACCTCTGGGGTAGATAATGTTTCGTTTTGTCTTATTATTACATATGTACACACACGTGCACAAAGGTACCTCCTAGTTTTAAAAATTATTTTACTTTAGATGAGTGAGCATTTTGCCTTCGTGTGTACGTATATGTTAATCCCACAGATGCAAGGAGAAAGGCCGCCAACCCAAATCATGGCCAAATGAAAGCAGGCTTTATTTGTGTACATGAGCTGGTGGGGTTCAAGAGGTCGGCCCTGGATGTGGGGAAGATAAGGTTTTGACAGCACAGGAGTAGGAAGGGGTCTCCAAACAAGTGGGGTTACAGAAGCAGAACACAAACATAACAAGTTGGTCATCACAACCTCCTGAAACAAAAGCACGGTGGCCATTTCCTGGAAAAGGCAGCGCAGAATCATCTGTAGTTAAGGTTACAAGTAGAACATAGCTTAATTCTTGAAAAACGGAAATTGAATCATAAACAGGAATGAACCAGTTTGACTTTGCTTTAAGACGGTTTCCAAGCCCAAGATGGAGGCAGGTTGTTGTTTATCACAAGATGGAGGCAGGTTGTTTATCCTCGGTGTACCATTGGTGTGCTTAGCACCCTCAGATGGTGTTGGGTCTCCTGCAACTGGAGTCACAGATGGTTGTGAGCCTCCATGTGGATGCTGGGAACCACAGGATTCTCAAGGGGTGGGGGAGCAGGAGGGTAAGATCTAGGCTGAGGTGCAAGGGAAGAAGATGGCCACCAGCCAGGGAAGGTGGGAATGTTGGCCAGGACCCCTGTTCCCAGAACCTTCAGAACATAAGCAAGAGACTTCTAAGCCGAGGTTCCGGCAACTTATTATAGCAGCAAAAGGAAACTAAGACAGGTGGAAAAGGTGTTGGCTGTCAGTTTATGCAAGTGAGAGTTTAGCGGTGAATTTGGAAGTGACGTACTTAAGCTCTGCACATGAATGGGGCCTAAGAAATGAAGCACAGTGCCAAGTCAGGACAAGATGTGGTAAGTGTGACTATCATGACTACCATATTCAAGGCTGGCAAAGGATTGTGAATCTGAAGTACTGGATTGGTTTGAAGGTTATTGCTTTTTTTTGGGGGGGGGGGGGAGGCAGGGGAGTGCTGAGGATGGAACCCAGGCCCTCACAGATACGTACAGCTCATGCTAACCACTAAGCCCCGCCAAAGACTCCGGAGTCCTTGCATGGCTTAATTTCTCAGCCATTTTTCTGTAAGGTAGAAATGGTGGTGCGGGGTACAGATTGCCACATTCCTCAGGCTATCCCTGAGGCCCATTCTGACAGGAGCAGAAACTTCAACCAAGAAGCAGCCACCAGATGTCTCCCTTGCTCAGCCTTGGAACCCTAAAAATCCCCGGGGAAGATGTTCCCTGCCACCCCGGAAGAAGACAAGGTGCAGTCATGCCCTTCCTTCCCTAGAGAAGCCTACATGCCCAGGAGTGAGGACCCCTGCGCTTAGCATTGTGAGGGCATCTTGGTTTAGCACCGAGACCAAAGGCAGCCTAAAGGGAGAGCCAGATAAGCTTTGCAAAGCCAGATAACATGTGAAGAAGTGAAGAAAAGCTGCGGGGAGTGACAGACTTGAATCCTTCTATTCCCTAATCTTGAATTGTTTGTCTGTTCGTCTTGAGAAAGGATCTCCCCATAGCCCTGGCTGTCCTGATCCTTGCTCTGTAGAGCGGGCTGGCCTCAAACTCACAAAGACCTGCCTGTCTCTGCCTTGCCAGTGTTAGGGATAAAGATTCACGCCACCATCGATTTTGGATTTTGTTTTTTAAGGCTTGTTTATTTTTATGTGCAGCGGGGTTTTGCCTGCATATATGTGTCTGTGTGAGGGTGCCCGGTCCCCTAGAACTGGAGTTACAGACAGTTATGAGCTGCCAAGTGGGCGCTCATTAAGCACTGAGCCATCATCCCCCAGACCCAGTCTGGGGTTTTTAAACGGTGTTTCTTTCCCAGAGAGTGCACTGGTGGTAAAGGGGTGGCACTGTGTCCTGTGCATGGTACACGGGGGACAACCAGAGTCACTTGTCATTTACGATCTGCAGTGGCTTCAGCCAGAAGGCCTGGCACACTTTTAGGGGAACTTATGTTTCAATTTCAAATGTGTGTGATCGTGTTGTTACGTAACCTTCGGTTTTCAAAGTACTCTTAACTCCCAAAGCTCCTGAGGCATCATCTAAGGGTTTGCGTCATCTAAGCTTGACCCTGGATACAGTGGGACCAGTGAGTGAAAGAAAAAAAAGAAACCAACCCACTTAGGAAAGCAGCTCATGAACCGGGATTGGCTCTGCTCATCCCTCCCCCCTCCCCCACAGGACTGGAGATTGTACTTGGACCCAGAAGCCCGAACATGCTAGGCAAGTTCTCTAGCCCCAGAAAGAGTGCTTCCTGTTCCTCTACGGCCTTATTTCAAGAGGAAGATGACGATGTCCTCAGATACTCAAAGAGCAGCCCCAGGGCACCATGCAAACAAGCAAGCCTCAGCACCCAAAGAGAGCAGAACCTCTACACATCAGACACGGAGTCCTCACGGCCAAAGCAAACTCATCCTGAGTCACGACGGGAAGTTGATGAGGGAAGAGTGCATGTTTAGGCATGTTGTAGTACGCCGTGTTGTCCTGCTATAAACATGACTGGAATAGTTACAGCCGACATTTAGGAGACTCTAACTTTGGCATAAGCCCAGAACTGTGGGGTTCGAGTGTCTTAGCCAGCACCACTCCTAAACCCATTCCTTGCTTCCTTGATCTAGGGCAGTAAGTATGTCCCCATCTGCAAGCAGCCGAAGAAGTCGGGAATAGCCAGAGTTACCTTCGACCTCTACAGGCTGAATCCCAAGGACTTCCTCGGCTGCCTCAACGTTAAGGCCACCATATACGAGATGTACTCAGTGTCCTACGACATCAGGTGCACAAGCGTCAAGGCCATGTTAAGGTAACAGTCTCCGGGGGAGGGGGTCTCTGGGGGTCTTGAACATCCAGGCGAGGCCCAGGTGGTTCCTCCCGGCTTGTCTTCTGCCCCAGGGCTCCACAACAGGGCCTGGACCCTCCGTTGTCACCAGGTGACACCTGGTTTTAGACCACAGACAGAGTAAAAAGCACAAAGTGGGCGTATAGCTTAGTGGTAGAGTACTTGCTTGGCACATTAGAGGCCCTCGGTCCAATACCCAGCACCCACTCACCCCTCCCACACACACAATGCATACATGCACAAACACGCACACATGAAAGTTTACACACGCCATGGAATCTGGTCCAGAAAGAACACTTGTTTGTTTGTTGTTTGTTTTTTCAAGACAGGATTTTTCTGTGTAGCCTTGGCTGTCCTGGACTCACTTTGTACACCAGGCTGGCCTCGAACTCACAGAGATCCACCTGCCTCTGCCTCTCAGAGTGCTGGGATTAGAGGCATGCACCACCACGCCAGGCCAAGACACACTTTCTGTTTGACGCAGTCTGAAATGACACTAGTTCAGTCTTGGGACTTCAGAGGCTAGGGCAGGGCAAAGCGTTCCCTCGCTGTGAGGAACGAGCCGCAACACCCCAGGTACCTACCCTCCGTACCCCCCAAAGAAGCACCATAATCCCAGCCCTTGTTGAGTTTCCTCAGTTTGACTGGTCTTGATACCTTGCCTAGGGGACTGAGCAGCACGCCCCCTCCCCCTACACCTAGGCTGCCGGACTCTCCGGAGTAGGAGGAGCTCTGTGGGGCCAGTAAGTGGCCCCGGACCTCGAGAGAGTACCGGCAGCCTACCAGGGAGCATCCAGACGCTGTGGTATTCCATGGATGCCACAACTCAACTATGGTTGCCACCCCCTCGGAGCTTAGTAAGGAGGGATGGGGTGAAGCGTCCCCAGCATTCCAGCTCTGGTCGGGTCAGAATCCCAAGCCTGAAGTATCTCTGTCTCCCTGTGTTGCAGAAGTCTGCTGCGGTTCCTCTCCTATGCGGCTCAGGTGGTAGGACAGTTCCTGGTCTACGCAGGCGCACACATGCTCCGGGCGCTGGGCGATACAGAGGAGCAGCCGCCGCCCAAGCCTAGCACCAAGGGCTGATTCATGTAATCAGATCAAGCTCCGGAGGGCCAGGGGCCCACTTTTCTTGTAAATTCACTGCCTTTCTGTAGAGGCTGTGGGCAGCCAAAAGAAGGAAGGGGCCTCGGTGGTGCAAGGTGCAGGGGGAAAGGAGGCAGACGGGCCCTCTCAGGGCCTTAGGAAGGGACTGACAGTGGAGTGTCTGGGAGCAGCGTGCATATGAATTAGACACTTTGCATCTTTTCCTATGGTAATAAAACTGACCACAAGACTCCCTTTAATATATGCCGTGCTTTCTTGCAAATGGTTCATCTCTCCGGACGTGACCACACCTTCCCACAGAACGAAAACCAGAGCCCTAAACCGGAAGATAGCTATCGCTGCAATTTAATCTCTCTTTCTAATTTTATCATATTATTTTTGGGGGTGGGTGCTTTGCCTGCATGTATGTCTACGCAACCCATACATTGTCCCAAAAGAAGGCCAGAAGAGGGCGTCGGATCTCCTCAGATGAGCTACAGACAGCCATGACCCTTGCTGTGTGTGGTTGAGATAGAATCTGGGTCCTCAGGAAAAGCAGCCAGCGCTCTTAACCACCGAGCAAGGGTCCAGCCCTGTTGCCCTTTAATCTTTATCCGTACTCAATGCAAAAGTCACGATCTGTCACACACAGCCAGGATTTTATTTGCTTTAGCTTTTCCTTCTAAAGTATAATTCTCTCGTGTGTGTGTCTGTGTGTCTGTGTGTACGTATACATGTTCATATAGTGTGAGTGCAGGCACATATACACCGTGGCACATGTGTGGAAGACAGAAGACATCCCGGGGGAGGGTCCTCACCTTCCAGCTTGTTTGGAAAGCCGCACAGGCTAGCACAGGCTTCTGGGATTGCTCCTGTTTCCCACCGCCAGCTGGCTGTAGGCGTGCTGGGACTGTAGATCCACAGTAGGTGTAAACCTGAGGCTCTCAGCCTTCCTAACGCTGCGACCCTTTAATACAGTTCTTCATGCTGTGGTGACCCCCAGCCACAAAATTATTTTGTTGCTCGTTCATAGCTGTAATTTTGCTGCTGTTATGAATGGTAATGGAAATAGCTGATATGTGACACCTGTGGGAGCCATGACCCACAGGTTGGGAACAACCAATTTAAACATCCAGCCTTACATGGGCTCTGGGGGTCTAGACTCGGGTCCTTGCCCCCTGCCCCTTTAAAAGCTTTTAATGAGCCCCAAAGGCTCTAAGGCTTAAGGACCTGCACAAGGGGCCTTCTGGGTTATGGAGTAGGTTCAGCCTTGCTTTTAGGAAGAAATAAAACTGTTGGAACCTGGGTTGGAAGCCAAGGGATGCTATGGTGCCAAGAGAACCCTTTCAGCCAGGAGCCAAGCTCTGCCTAGCGCTGGCCAAGGCAAAAGCCAAAGCCCTGTCAGCTGTGGGTTCTAGCTGGTGCTCGGCTGGGCGTAGGCCCTCACAGCGCCTCGTGAGGCTCCTGTTTATCACCTGGATCTTTCTTTGAAGGTAGCTTTATCATTGGGCCACACTGGGCTCAAGGGAAACTCAAGTGTCACCCTCAGCCCATGTGGGAGGCGCCAGCTGTGTCTCCCCTACCCTGTCATCAGAGCGGGGAGTAGACTCCTACAGGAACTGAGGTGTTGTTCCCTGAGTGAAGGGTAACAGCCCCTGGGAGATACCTCTGTTCCTCCTAGATCGGTCCTGCTGAGTCAGCCGCTGTCCCAGGCTGAGACTTTGCAGATGAGAACTGTGCCGATGAGACCCACACAGCCATGTGTGTGCTCGCTCTCTGTCTGTCTCTCATTCTCTCTCTTTGTCTCTCTGTTGTCTCTGGTCTCTCTCTCTCTCTCACACACACACACATACATCCTGTGGATTTCAACCTGATAAAGCAGCAAGGTGCCCCTGCTCCGCAGCCCCTGCAGTGACAGCCCAAGAGAGAAGGGATGAGGTCTGAATGGGAGGCCTCAGAACCCCGGTTCCCCGCCCCCACCTCGGGCTTGCATCACTTCCCCAGGATCCCACCCTCCCGGGAAGCCACTGCCTGGCTTCCAAAAAAGGAATTTTCACTCGGGATTGATCCTGTTGAGTCAGCCACTTCGCTGGCTCTGCTATTCAGTTGCTAGCGGGAGGGGGGGACTGTCCTTTTCCTCACAGGATGCAGGCAGCGGGATGGGGGTAGGGGATAGGAGATGAAGGATGCCACCAACGGAGACCTAGGGAGGGCCTGGGCTCTGGCCACCCACCCCCTCTCTGTGAGAAGGGGCCTGCAGCTAGAAGGACCACCTGATGCTGGGAAACCTCTGAACAGGTGGTGGTCTGCTTGCCTTTGTCTCTAGCTCCCGGAGCTGCTCAGTGACCCTGGAATTCTCCCAGCATTCTCAGGGAAAGCAGGAAGACCTGCTGGGGGTGGGGAGGGGGGGAATCACAAAGGTTGATGTTGTATCATCAAAGGCTGCAGAGGGCTCTTTAAAGAGCCTTTGAAGCGGAGAGAGAAGGGGGCCAAGTTACCAACTACCCTATGTAAGGAAGGGCCCCAGCAAGAGACAGCTCCGTCTCTGGTTCAAATTAGGCGGCATGTTCTCCAAATGTGACACTTTCTCCTTCTACTCTTAGTTTTTCTACAACCAAGCATCTCAGAGAGAAGCAGCAGCAGGCTAGGCTGGCTCCAGCAGGACTGGCCTGTGCAGGGTGTTGGGTAGGTCACTGATGAACCTACTTGTGAGCGTCCCTGTCAAGAGCTGTGTGTCCCGGATGAATAGGGCTAAGCACAAGAATACTAATTTACTTGTGCCTAGAATAACAACTCAGAAACAAACAAAAAGGTTCTCATAAACTCAGTGTTCATGGCCTTGACACTATGTTGACCTTGATTTTTTTTTCCTAGATTTTTAAATTTTATGTATATGAATATTTCATCTACATGTATGTATATGTACCATGTGTGTGCTTGGTGCCCATAGTGGCGTGAAGACGGAATAATCACCTGAAGATAGATTTACAGATGGTTCTGAGCCACCATGTGAGTGCTGGGAACGGAACCCAGGTCCTCTGTAAGAACAAATGCTTCTCAGAGAGCCCTGAGTCCCTCAAGCCCCATCTTCATGTTTCTTAGTGGACCTCTTTTTTTTTTTTTTTTTTAAACAAATGAACCAGATGCCCATGGCCACCGTGGCTGTCCCCAACATACACAAAGGCATGCTGATGACTCTACCTTGTGGTCAGTGGGCCTGACCCAGAGCTTTCTGCCACAGCCAGGCCAGTATGTCATCCAAACCATGAGAACATACAATGAAGTATTCTAAAAGTTATTACCACACGGCCAAAGCCGGGCTCCAGTGTAAATCCCTCTGCCGGGGGCAGATGTGCTCTCTGAGCCTCTGTCAGTAAAATTAGGATTCAACTTACATGGACCAGGGATTCCATTTCTGGAAAACTCACTTTGCACACATTTTATTTTTATCATCATCATCATCATCATCATCATCATCATCATCATCATCATCATTATCATCTCTCACTATGTAGCCTTGGCAGTTCTGGAACTCACTATGTAGACCAGGCCGGCCTCAAACACATAGAAACCCACCTGCTTCTGTCTCCCGTGTGCTGGGGTTAAAGGCATGTGCCACCAGTGTGGCATTTTGCAGAAATTTTAAATATGTAAACAGCGTGCCTTTGGTTGGCTGGCATCTCTCCATGGGCCACAGTCCTGCTGTTGCTCTTTTATCTGCCCTTTGGAAAGGAGTCGCTTCTCCACCATACATACAGAATGCCACTCAATGACACTAGAGCCTACAGTACAGCTGGGATTCCGTTTCCTGAGTGCTTCCAACCCACATGGCTTCACATCTTGTGATTTTTCTTTCTTTTTATTTGTTGTAGGTTTTGTTGTTGCTGTTGTTGTTGTTTGGTTTTTCTGTTTTGCTTTGTTTTTTTCTTTTTCAAGACGGGGTTTCTCCATGTTACCCCGGCTGTCCTGGAACTCGCTTTGTAGACAGGGCTGGCCTCCAACTCACAGAGGTCGGCCTGCCTCTGCCTCTTGAGTGCTGGGGTTAAAGGCATGCACTACCACTCCCGGATGACACCCCCAATCCTGTCTATGTTTTTCATCAGAGCCAGGAAATAAGTTCATCTGTATGCCAGAGATGCCCCAGGGCATCGAGGACACAGGGCATGCTGGCTGCTTACCCCCACAGCTCCAGGCTTTTGAAGATGTGGCTCCTCCTCAGTAAGGAAGCCCTGCATACTCTCAGCATAATGAACCTTCCCTCTAAGGATGACTGTCCCCAGCCAGGGGCCTTGAGTCTCTTGCACTGGCCTAGTATAAGTCAGTGACCTATAGCTACACCTAGACCTTCCACAACCCTAAATGGAGTGGCCAGCAGAAGGGGGCTCTATTGCACTTAAGGAAGGGTAGTTTTCGGGGTGTATTCTGTCTGCAGGAGCAAACACACACCTCTCCGTGCCAGAGCCCACCACTAATCCAGATTGCCTTGGCTAGGAATGACTTTGAAGTTGTACACAGCAGTGTCTGGCACTAGTCGCTACAGAATATCTCTTCATTTCTTCAGGTGAGTCAAACAAAGCCACAGTGGGTCACATGATAGAGGTCATCAAGGTATCACTCTGCTTCAGCTGCAGGATGTCTCAGGACATGACACTTCATGCATACCAAGACCTAATAGTACCACAGACAGAGAAGAGGGTTTTGTTTGTTTGTTTGTTTGTTTGTTTTGTTTTGTTTTATGAGACAGGGTCTCTCTACGTAGCCCTGGTTGGCCTGGAATGCAATGTGTAGACCAGGCCGGCCTCGAACTCACAGAGATCTGCCTGCCTCTGCTTCCCAAACACTGGGATTAAAGGAACGTGCCGCCATTCCTGCCTGCAGGAGGCTTTGATGGGCAATTTCCTCTTCTCCACCCATTCCCTAACTGTCACTGATGCTCCTTTCCTTCTGAGTCACCTGATAGAGGAGAACTGACCTTTCTAAGCAGTTCAAGTAGAAGGGGGTTTTGCACGTAGGACCCAGGGCTCAGCACGCCACTGTTGGAAGGCTTGGGCAGGACCACAAATGGGCTCTGCCCTGCTTCTGTGTGAGGCACAGGTGGAATTGCTGCTGCAACTACCTGGAGCATCAGTGGCTCTCTCTTCAGCCAAAGATGTAAAAAGGAGAGTTCTGCTTCCAGAATGGACAGAGAAACGCACATCATTTGCCCTCAACTCTCTAGCTTCCCTACTTGGTTCAGGTATGTTCCAAATAGCTCAAGTTC